TCAGCATATGCTGGTAACTCACTACTGTTATGGACTATTGGACTATTTTGGGTTATTTTGCTGAATTCAAGTACCTACAATATTTGGACTGGCATCAAGCATGAAAAGGTCTTTTAAAACATCTTCAAATACAGCTTCTCTAACTTCATTGGAACACCCATCTCTGACAAAACAAAACAACAAAGGGGGATATAAATAAAGGACCATTTTGTAGTGAAATATATATATATTATATATAGTGCAAAATAAAAGACAGACAATAGGAAAAAAAGAATAAAGTTACTGTTGTCCAGCTTGGTCAATATATCTAAAAGCATACCTTGACTTAGTATAATTAACCCTCAAAAAGCTACACACAAAATTACCATGTTACCTATCAACTCTATTCTTAGCATATACATATCCCAAAGAATTGGAAACAGGAATTCAAATTCATACATACTAATACTCATAGCAGCATTATTCACAATGGTCAAAAGTGAGGCCAGGCATAGTGGCATACACCTGTAATCCCAGTACTTGGGAGGTGGAAGCAGGACAATGAGTTTGAGGCCAGTCTGGGATACATGAGTTCAAGGCCAGCTTATACTACATAGTGAGACTCTGTCTCAAAAGAACAACAACAAAAGCAAATAGAAACAACACAAATATCCTTTAATGGTTAAATGAAAAATGTGACACATACAGTATATGTATATAATGGAGTATTGTTCATCCATAAAAAGAATGAAGTATTAATACATGATACAACATGAAAGTACCTAAAATCATAAAGAAGCCAAACAAAAAAGGGTAAATATTGGTATGAAATATTTGGAATAGATAAATCCACACACAGAATACAGAATATAATGTCTGGTGGTTACCAGATGTTAAGAGCAGAGGAGAATGGGAAGCAATGGTAGGCAGCTTCCATTTGGGAAGATGAAATTGTTTTAGAACAAAATAAAGATGGTAAGCTGTCAATTATTGAGTATGAATTTTGAATGCACTAAATGCCACTGAAGTTTTTCACATTATAACAGTTTATTGAGAATTTCACCTCAGTTTTTTAAAATTAGTATCACATGGTTCTTTAATCTCAGCTAGTCTGAAGGCTGAATCAGGTAAACTGCAAATTCATTGGACAACTTAGTGAGTCTTTGTCTCAAGACAAAATTTTAAGAGCTGGGGTGCTTTCTGGGTTTAAGCCCCAGAACAGCATATACACATAAATTCATTGTCAACATCTAAAACCAGGAATCTTTCTTTTCCCTATATTCCTTTGAAATTCTTCTAATCTGTTAAAATGGCAGTGAAGGAGGAGCAGAACATGCCATCTCAAAAGTCCCTTTGGCATATTACTTTGAGCTGATGACAATGGAGAAAGAGCAGATGCAGAATGGGCTCTCTGCTTCCTCCTTTCTGCCCAGATGTACAGTATTTTTTCCTCATGAAAAAGGTGTGGTTGAGGTACCAGAAAGAACAAAACATACTTATTATCAGAGATAGAGTCAAGGTTAAGATGAATGTACACAAACAAATCTTACTAAAAGAACACTTAACTTTCATTAGTTTCCTTCATAGATTTTCTTGTAAGATTTCCACAATTTACTGTCGCTATAATCTATTTTCTTCGTGTAGTCACTTTTCAAAGGTATTACTCTGTTAAGAGTATAATCTTTCAGTCTAACTGCTTCTTTTGGAGTTTTACTTCTTTCCAATGAAGACTTTCCCTAAATATTAGCATGCAGTAACATTTAAATGCTTTCCTTCTTCTATTACAACTATTAACTCAAATTCTAGCTGATAAACCTAAGAAAATAGAGAAAGTTTTTTATTCTCTATTGCAGCTAAAACCAAAACCAAAGAAACACAGAACTGGAATGCATCTATAATTCCAGCACAGTAAGAGACTGAGGCAAGAGGATGGAAGGTGTGAGCCCAGGCTGGGCAACTTAGTGAGAGACCCTGGCTGAAAAGTAAAAAAATTTAAAAGAGCGGGCCACATAGCACAGTATGAAGGTTCTGACTTTAATCTCCAGTACTGGAAATAAAGAGGAAAGAAGGAGAGAGGGAGACAGGGAGAAAGAGAGAGAGGGTAGTGGGAGAGAGGGAAAGAGGGAGAGAGAGGGAGAGAGAAATGGGGGTAGGTGGGGGGAGAGGAAGAAGGAAAAGGAAGACAAGAAAGAGGAAGAGGAAGAGAGGAAGGGAGAGGAAAAGGAGGAAGAGGAGAAAGAAGGAAAGAAGGATGAAGAAGAGGAGAAGGGAAAGGAGGAGGAGGAAGAAGGAAGAGGGGAAAAAAAGAACACAACTGGGTGTGGTGATGCTTATCTATAATTCTAGCACTCTGGGAGGCTGAGATCAGAGAATTATAAATTTGAGCCTGACCTGGGCAACTCAGCAGCTTAGTGAGAGATAGCTCAGTAGAATAAGTGCTTGCCTGGCAAGCGCAAGGTCCTGAGTTCAATCCCTGGTCCTGGGGGGGGGGACCTAGCTGGAGACTGTGATGATTTTTAATGTTGATCTCTCATTCTATTCAACCAAATCATTCTTGCTGAATGATGTGGAGATGGTAAGCCCAGATCCCACATGAGAATAAAGTTATTGTGTTGTAGTTAGTATATGTATATAGCAAGTCAATGATAAGAGAATGTCAAAATCTACACTTACATAAAAGGATTTACTAAACTATAAAGAGGAAATGAGACTAAATATTACGATGTTAATATTCAATTTTTTATGAATGAAAAAGAACAGGGTGCCAAGTTCTGACTGTGCAAAATAAATATGAAACCCTTGAAGAACTACCAGATGCAGAGGAGGGGGAAGGAGGATGATAAGATAGATAAGGGAAAGAGGAAGAAAAGAGGAATGAGGGAAGAAAAAAGGAAGGAAAAGAAAGGAGAGGGAGAGAAGATAGGAGAAGTAAAAGAAAAAAGAGGGGTATGGAAACTACAAAAGGGATATGGAGAAAGAAGAAGAAGAGGGAAAAGAGGGTGGGGAGAACAGCCAGGAGAGTGGCCTAACAAGCAACGAAAAAAGATCTTTATTACCACTTATCATAAAGCAGTAACAGAATAATGAAATTAAGAAAGCCTGAGACAATAAACATAAAATTTCACCAGGACTTTCAAATTCTCTCAACAAGAACTAATTAGTGGAATATAAAGATGCCATACCTCCATGCAGGTTTGCTGATAGTACAAATGGATAGGCCTTCATCCAACTCATTACGGCAATAGTTTCTGGTTGGGTAGGATCTGTGATCTGAACAAACTGGTCTGGAAAATTTCGGTTCAGGTCAAAGTTGTTGCTGTTGTTTCTGCCAATTTCACTTACTGAATCACCTATAGGATAAAAGATTCAATTTAAGATATATTTTACATATACTTTTTTAAATTAAGTTTACTGGTACATTGTAGGTATATATAATGATCACACTCATTATGGTGGATTTGTACCTGTGCAGCAGAAAATGCTCCCCCAGCCCCTGCCAGTCTATTAGCTGCCTGGGTAATAGTTCCCATTGCAGCTTCTGTTACTGTCTTCTAGAAATGGGCACTGTGATGCATAGCTGCTCACTGCGATGCACAGTATAAAAACCAAGCAAAGACAGCTAAGTACTCTACCTCTGCACTTCCCCTCTGCAGTGCCATAAAAACCTCCCTTTCTCCCTGGGCCTTTGTGACCTGACATTTTCATAAGGATAATTCATTTCATATTGGTTTCCTGTTAGTGTCTATCCTACATTAGATAAATCTGCCTCTAAATCCTGGGTGTCATTTCAGTGTTTCTGTTGCTGTTGCATCTATACACGATATAACTTGATTTTTTTCTCTATTCCCTTATTTTAAGCCAACACACATTGCTTCTGCTATCTTACCTAACTATATGAACACATGAGGCTTCATTACTTTCAATCCCCCTATGATGAAAACACAAAGACCACTGAACGCATAGAAGAAAACTCCTGCCCCTTCCAAAGCATAAGCCAAAGCAAAGGCTTTGAAGGCCAAGATGGCAGTGCTGAAAGGCACAAAGAGATCTTCCTGGCACCCATCTCTCTGCAGCCCAAGACACTGCAACTCCAGAGGCAGCCGCGATATCCCTAGACGAGCACCTGCAGGCCAAACAAGCTCGTCCACTATGCCATTATCAAGTTCTCCATGACTACAGTCAGGCATGAAGAAGACAAAAGACAACACACACTCATGTTCTCTCTGTGGATGTCAAGGCCAACAAGCATCAGATCAAACAAGCTGTGAAGAAATGATGTATCTTTTCTACACTGTCTGTACTTTGAGAGGCAAAATCAAATTACATCAAGTTATATTAAAGCATTTCTCAACTGTCAGTAATTCACACAAAATGACACAATCAAAATGCTTGAAGGGGCTGGGGAGATAGCTCGGTAGAATAAGTGCTTGCCTGGCAAGCGCAAGGGCCTGAGTTCTATCCCCAGTTCTGAAAAAAAAAAAAAAAAAAGCTTGAATATTACTGACTAGATGGGGACTCTACTATACTTAAATATATTTCACTAAGATGTAAGGAACAGATCAAATAAAATAAAAATTATAGTATAGGCCAGGTATAGGAGTGTACACCTGTAAATTCCAGCACTCAGGAGGCTGAGACAGGGGGATTGGTGAGAGTTCAAGAACAGCCTGGGCTACAAAGTCAACTCAAGGGCATGAACTGCATGGTGAGACCCTGTCTCAAAAAAAAAAGACAAAAAAAAAAAAAAAACAAACCAACCACCCTCATTATAATAAGCTTATATTAAAGTGAATTCACAAAAGGGTGAAATTTCCTAAGGACACAGTTGAAAACTTAAACTGAGAGAGGAGAAAGATTCACTTTCAACTCATCTGAGTATGTGTCATTTTAGTATGGAGTGAGAACTCTATTACTGACACTATAATGAGAAAACATTGCAGGTGAATGAAGAAAACAACTAGAGGGCTCACAAGAAAGTGTTGGGAGTGGAGTTGGTAGAGGGGATCTGTAAGCCTGACAAAGAATAAAGTCCTCAGGGAAAGAATATTTAAAATATACTAGGATTAACCTACACCTATTTGTCCAAGAGAGTTTCTGTGTATTAGTGGCCAGATGATTGATCCAGTAGGCAGGTATAAGTTATTATGTGGCTGCATATTCATATTATGATGCCTGTTTTACTCACAGGTATTACTGTCTACAAGCAATTGTAAGAAAGTAAACTCCAAAATAGATTTCTTGGGCATACATCAAGATAGTTATTCAGAGAAATTGCAGACATAAGAATAGCTCTAGCACTGCAGGGGATGTAGCTTAAAGAATGGCTCTAAAAAGCTATCTTTTTATAAGAAGAAATATGTTTCTATCCATATTAATAAACAGCAAATGCAGGCAGAAGCTTTTCTATCTGCTAGTCTCCTTTCTGTGTAGGAAAGGTATTTCTAAAGGAAAAAGACACTGGGAGCCTGACGCCTGGCCCAGCCAGAGATGACCAAGGTAGCTGTTACTAATCAGATTTCACCTGTGTAACAAGCTAACCCTTCCTCTCTGTGTGTATTCTTCTTTCAGTTTTTCACAGCCTTTAGCCACCTTCCTTCACTGGGATACCAAGACACTCAAGCCTTTATTTCTTTATTTAACTGCATATAACTCTCAATTGCCATTCTTTGAGTTTCACATGATTTGAATTTTATTCATGTAAGACAGGCCAGACCATTCATCATTGTGTGATGTATATAAAGCTTATATGTAATAGCACTTAAAAACTTAGTAATCACTCTTACTAACTCTAGAATTTTTATAAACTTTCATCTTACAGTAGTTCTTATTAAATTATTACATTGGGAAATTATTTTATAAATGAAAGATGAAACCAAATATATTGAAAGCCAGACTATATTGAACCCAGTTCTGTTCCAATCCTGCTAAGTTAGAGATGTCCCATTCCTCTGCCTCCTCTAGGCAAGCCTACCTCTCTTGGGGCAGCATAGTAAGAGCTGGGAGAGCAGGCATGCACAGGACCCCTTGCAGTATTGCCCCGTGCCATGCCACTGCTTTGGAACTAGCTGACTATGGATCAAAACCTCTACAAACCACGAGCTAAACAAGCCTTTCCCCCTTTAAATTTGGGAGATCAGTATTTTGTCCCAACAATGAGAGAAAAGTAGCAAGACAGGGATGATAAAGAGAATTAAGATGTCTTATGTACATGTACCAACTCAACTGATAATGGGCAGATTAACAGGAAGAAAAACCACAGCAAATTTCTTAACACGCAGAAACACAGGATTGATGTACAAAGTTCAGGGGGTGAGCTCTTGCGCTCCCCTGCACTGATTGGACCTCCCTGGATCAAGCTCAGGTCAGCCCGGTGAGAGAGACCTTCCGCCGCGTCCTCGGGACCCTTTCCGCCCCACTCTCTCTGGAAGCTTCCATCTCTCCCATTCAGCCCAAGCTCATCCCCAGCGAGTTTGTGGGAGAGCTTCTGCGCTCCCCTGTGGCCCCTGGGCCTGGGCACAACAGAGAGGCACCACAGGTTCTCTGTTGCAGCAAAGGGGCACAACAGATTCACTTCCAAGGGCTGCAGCAGGAAGGAGCTGAACACAACTGCTAGACCCAAGCTACATATAACTGGAAAACTCAAACTTAAAAGATCTGCACCCAAATTTCATTAGGTGCTAAGGATATACAAAGTTCAAGAGCTAAAACCGATTATAAGTAACTCTTAAAAACAAATTCTGACCATTTTGTATCTGTGTATTCAAAATGGTTAGGATAGATATATAGCTACATTCTCTTAATTCAAGGAATAGAGGGATTTATTCTAATAGTATTTGTAAGTAGAATATGTCTGCATCTTGTACACCAAATAACCACTAGGAAAGGCAGTATGCAATGTGTTAATTATTGGAACTGTCCTACCAATTCGATTTGAAACTGTCTCATTGCTATTTATTTCTCAATAAAATTATGGAAAAAACCCAAATTCTAGGGAAACAACAAGTTCAATTTCTCTTTTACCCCCCCAAACTATCATGCCAAACAATAAACAAAAGATTAACCATTAAAGCCTCTAATCCCAGCACTTTGGGAGACTGAGGGAGGAGGAATGTGAGTTTGAACCCAGGCTGGGCAACTTACAATTTAATAAGACTTGTCTTGAAATAAAAAATAAAAGTAAACAAAGGTCTATGGATTCAGTACAGCATGAAGGCCCTATACTCTATCCCTCATATTGCAAAACATTAAAAAGAAAGTTAAACATTAATAGTCTGCTATTCTTTACCTTCCTGAGACTTTTCATATCCATCAGGATTCATGGATGGCATAAGGTGAATTCTAGTGTTACGGACCAAATCTGTTACTTCGGGATCTGTTCCAAAGTTCTTACAGAGGTATTCAATGAGGTTCAGTAGCAGTTCTCTTCCAACTACCTCATTACCATGCATATTTCCAATGTACTTAAATTCTGGTTCACCTGAAAACAAAAGAAATACATAGAAGATTTTTCTACCTTTTCAGGTTATCATGAGCTCTTTGTTTTTTCCATAATATGTGTAAAAATCCTGAATCAAAAGTTTAAAGAAAACAAGTATTTTGATAAATCCAAGAAGATCTTCACAAACATCTTATCAAGCAGTTTCCTTACCAACATATATGTATGAAACCACCATATAAAATACACAACACGTGTATAATGTGCCCTATATAATACAAAAATAAAAATAGTATTAGCAGAAAGAATATAATCTATGCACATAGTAAATGCCATACCTAATATGGATTATAAAGGGGGTTTTCTTTTCTGGGAAAAGAAGGGCTACATTTTCTTTCTTCTTTTTTGATTATGTTTACTTAATTCAAGTTATAAATACTATAAATGACTTTTCTGGACTAAGTATAGCAATGTAATAATTAGGCTTGAGAGGCGCTACTAAAACTATATGAGTAGAGGCACTACTAAAATGATATGATTTTAACTATATCAATTACCTGGTTCATGGACACCTGGATTATCAGATATCTCCATGACATAGAGTTCTCTTGATTCTACTGATTTTCCCAATGAGTAAAGCCGAGTGATATTAGGATAGTCATTGGCAAATCTTCTCAAAAAGATTTCCATGTCAGGAAAATGGTGATGGTGAAAATCTTTCGGCTGAATTGGCTGGTGAGAGGATAACGTTCCAGGGGGAATCTTGGGGAGAATAACTGTGCTAGCAGTTGCCAAAATCTCAGTTGTGTCAGGGATTACTGAAGTTGCAGTTGGCCGAAGGGAAAAATCCACTTCTGTGGCTGGTCCTTCTTTCACAGTTATATTATGAATAGTCAATGGCATATACCTAAAAAAAAATTGGGAAAGAGGAAGGCTCAGAGTTAAGACACACAGTGCTTCAGCATTATAAAAATGACATTACCCTTTTCACATTCTTGCACTTAGTAGTATATCAAACTCAAAACTAAGGATGACTGTGTAAACTTAAAAGTTTTAAGATGTTATTTCACAGAATATTTTAGATTTAAGTCTTCAAAGAGTTATTTCTCTTACTAATCTTCTGGGTATCACACACTAAAATGTTCACTAAAAAAAAAAAAAAATCACACTCAAAGGGAATACTATGTTTGTAACCCCTTTGTAACTGTTGTTACAATGCTCAAAGCAATGAACTTAGAATTGTTTGTAGTGCTTTATCAGACTGACTTTTTTTCTGACTTCTAACATTTTGCCCAAATAGTAAAGTTCAAATTAAAGATTATCAATTAAATCCTTATAAAAGTGAAGTTCCAGAAATTTTTCCAGGGAAAGTGGGAAACCATCTCTTTAAAATGTTAGAAAGCTGAGAGTAAAACAGTTGTTCAAACATCATTTACACAACCAGTGGTTTCTTTTATTCAGGTATTTATCTTTGAGGCAACATTTTACACAGCTGAGCCTCTTGTTAAGCTTCTGAAATTGTCCTTCCTCAGAATGCTGTATTTATGCAATACACTGTTGGACTGTGTGGCAAAAGCTTCCACATTATGTTTTCAAAATAAAAAGAGAAAAATCAGAAAATAAAGAAAAACCCAGACACAATGATTAACATTATTAGACTGTCTTAGATACAAAATACAGGTCTGACACTTTTGCTGAGTCTTGTTTATGTTCTTACCCAGTTGAAAGTGCTGTAAGATTATAACTTCCAGGAACAAGTAATCTGTGGAAATCACCAAATCTGCCTGTTGTGATGTTATGATTAATACCAGCCACCGAAATGGTTGCATTCTCTAATCCAGATCCTGTTACTGAATCTTTAACAAATCCTTTAATTCCAATGTGGACCTAAAAAAACATGCATCAAAACTTAGAGACAATCAATTTAGAAGCAAAGAACATAATAAGCTCTCTGCACTGATGCTAGACTTTCTATTAAAAAAAAGCTTAATTACCTAAGATTTCCAAATATTTTTCAATCTCTTTAAATATAGATAAAAGTATGAAAGCCTTAAACAAGAGTCATATGTGTTAGAACTCTACATTAGTAAACTACTTATGAAGTTTCCTCTTTAAAGCTAGGCTTCTAATTGTCTCAACAAACTACTTCTGGCACATATAATAACTGTATTAGCTTGTCTGATATTTAAATTAAATTGATATTTCTGGTTTATATAATGATCAAAGCTCTCTAAAAAAATGAACATATGATATTATAAGAACCTGGCAGTATGAATTTGTGTTTTTATTTCCTTTTTAATTACTGTATGCATGCATGTGTGGTGGGAATTGGACTTCATGCATACCAAGCATACACTCTCCCAGCAAGCTATACTCCCAACCCCCCATAGTATACATTTGGCTAATTATGTAATTGTTCTTTTTCCATTTTTGGTACTGAGAATTTAAAAAATAATTTTTAAAATTATAATAATTTTTTAATAATTGCTCACTCTACCACTGAGCAAAATTTCTAGCCCCTAATTTGGTTCATTATTTTGATCTATAAAAGTGTTTTAACACAGGTAAAGGACACCTTGGGAACAGAAAGCTAGAGGGGCAGGCCAAAGAGGCAGTGCTAAAATATGTTTGAATAGACTATAATAATTCTAAAACTAATCTGTAATCTCAAATAATAGAAACAGATGATAAAGAAAATCCAATATAGATTACCATTCACATGCAGCCCAATTTCTCCCTAATTTAATCCATAATTTATATAGCCCAATCTCCCACTCAGCTGTTTTTACCTTTTCAATCAATGTAATCAGAGATTCACGATTGTTCTCCCATTCCTGTCGAAGCTGAGAAGCAGGTGGGTACTTGCAACAAGATAATTCTAATGTGATCTCAAAACAATTGGCCCATACATAATTGTAATCTTGCATACCACCTGTAACATAAAGGGAAAAAAAAGTTTACTTCCAGAAGGAAAGGATTTTTTTAAAAAAATTTATTTATTTATTTGTTACAGGGTCTCGACTCAGTTCAGACTTGTAGTGATCTTCCTGTCTCAGACTCACCAGTGCTGGGATTACAAGTGTGCACTAGCACACCTAGTTCTGTGGACCTGCATGGCATGTGGTACCAGGGATAAAACTCAGGTTCTTGTGCTTGCCAACCAGGTGCTTATATGGTTGAGCTATCTCCCCAGCCAGAAGGAAAGGAATTTTACCCTCCAAAAAACTGGAGAGACTAAATCAATCATCTCTTCTATGTATAAATTTTCTTTTTACTAAATTGTTTGACATTGGAGAAGTCTCCTTAATTTTAGAAGAGGCCAAGATGGAAGGTTAAGTGGATATATATTTAAGAGAAATACACATAAAGTCATAAACTTAACTGGTAGGATGAACAGTTATAAACAGTGCAAATGCAAAAACAAAAACAAAAAACAAATCGGGGGCTGGGGAGATGGCTCAGTGGAATAAGCACTTCCCTGGCAAGCGCAAGGATCTGAGTTCAATCCCTGGTTCCACAAAAAAGAAAAAAAAAAAAAAACCAGTGCAAATATCAGTCACAATAATAATAACAGCTGTATATTTGAGTGTTTGCTATATCCAAGAAAGGTATGAAAAGCTTTATGTATATTAATACTTAAACTTTACAGCAGTTACAGGTAGCAGGGATTACTTTAGCCTATCTTATAGGTGCATGAAGTCAGGCATGAGGGTAAGAATTATAACAGAATGACAATGAACAAATGAAGAGTACACATCTTCAGGCTGTGAAGGATATTCACACCAAGCCATCATTAACGAACTTACTATTCTAATCGCACTATCCTTTATCAGGAAAATAAGATTAAAAAAAAAAAGATTGTATTTAGGTTGGTCCTACTACATGAATCAAGGAAAAATATTCTTTCAAATGTGTTACTTAAAGTTAATCTTCTGGAAGATTAAATAAGTAAAGACTCTTGAAGAGAGAGGAGTAAGCAAAGACTTCATGAACAAAACCCCAATTGCATAGGAAATATTGCAAAGAATCAACAACTGGGATCTCATCATGTTAAAAAGATTTTTAAAAAAGAGTTGCACAGTAAAAGAAACCACCAACAAAGTGAAGAGATAACCCACAGAGTAGGAAATATTTTTTGACCACTTATCCCTCAATTAACTATTATCTAAAATATATAAAGAACTCAAAAAAAATCAGATCCCTCAAATTTAATGAAAGATAAAATTAAAAGGGGAATAAGTAACCATAGTCAAACACCTTTACTACTTTACAAGTCTATACGTTCAGCTTGTAGAAAGTCTTTTACTGTGTCATTCCTGTCACTTGATTTTCTCACATCTTGTTGCAGGAGGATGAACACTGTAGAGTGGGGAGGAGAGCAGGCATCACATTTTTAAGATCTGACCTTGCTCCTGAAAGGTGGGTAGGGAAATATTTATAAAGTAGGACGGTTTCCCAAACCCTTTTTTTTGCATGTGAAATGGGCCCCAACTTCAGTCACTTTCTTCTAATTATACCTGAAAGATACAAGCGTAGGTTTGGCTCAGTCACTTGCCCACCACTCATCAAAATTCTCCTATATACTTAAGCCTGGCAAGATGGACTTCTCCTTTCCTAAGCTCTCCCCCAAAAGACTTACCCCTTCTCTGATAGGGCAAAGTAAAAGTGTGAATTTTGGGGGTGAGCTTTCTCTATCCCAGTGCATCTCTGAAGATGTTGAATGGAATCTTGATCAGAAGGGGAGGAAATAATTTCCCTTTCATTGGCTCAGCACATATATGCTTGACTCACAGATTCTTCTGCCACTTATGAGCTGAGAAACCTCTGGCATTAACATGGGTCTTTATTTACTGAAAACTGAGTGTTACATAAACACAAAGCATTCTCAAAAAGTCTCTCAAATTTTGTGATGCTTAAAAATATATGTTGCTTTGACTATAAGAGAAAAGGCAGGCAGAAAATACTTAAAACTATTGCAGCTGCCCAATCTTGGACTTTTGGCCTCCAAAAATATGAGCTAAGTAAGTTTCTTTTCTGTGTCCAAATTCAGGTATCTTGTTACAGCAATACAAAACAGTAACATGATTGTATTCACATTGTTGTACAGAAGATCTCTATAACTTTTTCATCCTGCAAAACTGAAACTCTGAAACAAATAACTCTCCTTTCACTTCCCTCAACAGCCCCTCATAACTGCTTTCCTAGAGTTTGACTACTTTAGATATCTCATAGAAGTGGATACGAATAATTTTGCCTCTTTGTCATTGGCTTATTTCACTTAGCATTTGTGGTCAAAATGCAGTGGTCACTGTATAAAACACTACACTAAGACCACTGGGATTTATAAATAAGAAACATACTAGTGTTTAGAGTCTTGATGAGAAAAAACAGAGAACACATAAAAATAACTTCCGAAACAATGTAAATACAAACTAATCTTTTATCTACATAAAATTTAGTAGCTATGTTATTGCAAACAGCTAACTCACATTCTAATTATGCCAAAATGTAGTGAACTAGACTACTTGCAACATTATAATAACTACAGGAGTCTTCACATTCTTTCTTCTCTGTGGTGCACTAATTAATGGTCAACTTGAGTGGTAACTCCCAGGTGAACTGAGTCAGCATCGTGCTGTTCTGGGCATGGATGAATTACCACCTGAGGATTGTTGCCCAAATGACGTAAAGGGAGAATGGGAGGGAAAGACTGCACGATGTTGATTTTCCTGGAGAAGCCTGGCACAGCTGATTTTTCTGATAGGAATTTGGCTCCTCTCAGAGGAGCATGGGTCCTTGCTATCACTGGAGATGGCTGCTGTTCTCTTCTAGGGAGCTCTGGTCTTTGCCTTGAGCACAGCTGCCTGGGTCCAGCACAGATCTCTCAGTCTTGTGGCACAGATCCATTACAAACACATATGTGTGTGTGCAACTTTCTAGCTTTCACGACTGGCCTTTTGGCCTTCCTGGTACAGATCCCTGATATGGACTTGCACAGAACATTGCCATTGGTGCTAGCCCTTCAGCTGGACTCCTGCAGGTCCATGTGCTGGGATCCAGGCTCTCGGTTGGCTGGATTCTTCTGGACTCTAGCATGCATACAGATCTCTTGCATTCCTCTGCATTTGACTTTTTGGCTGAACATCATAAAATGGTCCTATAAATTATGTGTGCTGTAATAAATCTATTCCCTTAAAAACCAACAGTCTGCACCTTGATTGTTTTACTTCCATTGCAATTTAGGAAATAGCTACTAGCTAAGAGGCAGCAAGATCAAGTTTATAGTAATGTTTTCAAATGTTGTATAATCCATTTTTAGATGTAACTTTAACAGGACCATAACTAGCTAGGTCAGTGACACAACTATATCCTCAGGGTAGTAGACAGGGAGAAAGGACAAGTCTTTACAAAATAAGACTTAAATTCAGGAGAGTAAAACACATTCAGTGGTCTCTTGTCCTACAGATCACACACTATAGACTGATTTTCTTAAGCATAACTCCATGAACAATCTAAAGATAAGATTCTTAGAAAGAAACTTCTTTTCCCAGGTCATATGAATTTGGGAAAATAGAATAATGAATACTATAACTAGTTGTAATATTAATATTAGCTTCACAGTGTAAAACCTAGTAGAAATTATCAGTTAAATATTGAAATAGGCTGGGTATGGGGCCATATATCTGTAATCCCAGCACTCGGGAGAATAAGGCAAGAGGATCACTGTGAGTTTAAGGACAGCCAGGGCTACAGAGAGTTCAAGGGCAGCCTGAGCTACATAGCAAGACCCTATCTGAAAACAAAACAAAATAAAATAAACAAAAAAACTTGAAGTACATTCCTCAAATTTTCCTTTGATAAGACTATATTTAATTAAATAAAAAACATGTAAAATTATATTGAAAATTTAAAAAATAATTGAAAAACAATAGAATAACCAGGATCTTTACTATATTTCAGCAATAGTCAAAAGATACAACACAAAAAAGATCCCAACAATTCACAAAAAGTGTAACACCAAATATAATAAAATCTATAAAAGACTATCATAAACTTTAACTAAAAGATATAGATTTTAGTAGAGTCTTATGCCTCTAGGGAGAAAGTTCATAAAGATACCAAATTCTCCCAAATTAATTTCTAAATATTATGCAAAAAGTAGATTTTTATTGAAATTGGGTAACATGATCTAGGAGTTAATTTGGAAAAATAACTGAGAATTTCTCAGAAATGGGTCAGAATATCCAAGAAAACATTAAAAAAAAAAAGAACAGTATGAGTAGATTTATAATGTCATTTAGTTACATACATATTTGGCTGTCTTGTTTTTTTCGAGATGGGTCCTACTGTGTAGGACCTTGAACTGACCTTGAACTCCTAGAGATTCTCCTGTAGGTGCATACTACCACACTCAGCATTTATAAGACTATACTACTAAAGCATAAGGCAGTTCATTTGAGATGTCAAAGTAAACAGACCAGTAGAAGAAAACAGATGACCATAATAAAAACAAAATCATTTAGAATATGATAAAGGAGTGCCAGCAAGATAGCTCAGGGGTCTAAAGCGCCTGCTTAGGCAAGCTCAAGCAAGCACAGGGACCATGGTTCGATCCCTGACACCACATGCCACACCAGCCCCACCCCAAGGGTGGGCTGAGCCAGCCACAGAGTCTGGGTGTTAGTGGTGTACACCTATAATCCCAGCATTGGGGAGGCTGAAAATAGGAGGATCACTGTGAGTCTGAGCTGCAGAGTGAGATCCTGTAACAACCAAATACATTTAAAAAAAAGAATATGATAAAGGAAACCAATAAAACCAGTGTGAGAAATATAACAACTATTAACATGTATGAAACTGGTTAAATAGGTGGCAAAAAATACAGAAGCTTTATCCTATATCACACCAAATAAACTCTTTAATCCATATGGA